TTTTTTTGTCCTTTTTGAGACTGGCCGCACCGCACTCAGCCAGTGAGCGCTGTGAGCGCAACAGTCATCCCTATATAGGATCCAAACCTGCAGTGGGAGCGCTGTTGCGCTCCCAGCGCCGCACTCTCCCGAGTGCGCCACGGGCTCGGCCCTAACTACCACCACCTTTAACATAATTCCCCCATCAACCCAGACTGAAACTGAATTTAAATTCCCACTGCACCAGTGGTTGTCATAGTGTGGTCCACAGACCAGCAGCATCTGTGTCACCTAAGAACTTGGTAGAAGAGCAGATTCTGAGTGAGTCCATCTCAGACCTACTGAATCAGAAACTCTGAAGATGGAGCTCAGCAATCTGTGTTTTAATAAGCCCTTAGATGATTCTGAGGCACATGCATGTTTAAGAGCCATTGAATTAAGACGCATTCAATGTCTAGAAGAAGGCTGGTAAAATCCAAAGAAATGGTTAAAGCCACTTTTTTAAAAAAAATGATTAAAGGTGGTTAAAGCACGTGAAGGGCTGCAAATTGCTCACTGTGCAGAGCATTGTAAATCTCTGAATAACCTAGGAATAAGCATTGATTTTTTGCCTCTGAAATTATAAGGGCAAAACCTACTGACAGACACACATCCAAAATGAACGTCTGGCCCTTTGTCAATTGTAGGTTTAAAGGCCTATGGTCCACATTGATAAAGCCTGAGTCTATCATACCGATTCTAAGTTACTTCCTGTCAAATCAAAAAAGCCAAGCAAGAGAAGCATCTCCAATCACCCTCTAATTTACGACCGACCTAAAACACAATTAGCCCTGGTGATTAACTAATTCAGTCCATAGTTTAAAGTGTAATTCTTTTATTTATCATTTTTCATCCTCATCTCCAAAGCACTTGTGATCTGGGACATTGTTCAAATGTGAGTGAAGCACGTAATGAAAAATAGAAGACAGTCGGGTGCTGTGAGCACACAACACGGTACTACGGATACACAGTTCCTGATATTTTATTCCAGCTAGGCCCTCCTTCCCTCCACATGTTCTGCCATTTCAAATAGAGCTATAAACCAGGATAAGTTTGGAAGCAGGACAGAAGGAAGGAGAGAGTGAGCAGCGCGTGCTCGTGAGCCAGGCCCCATTCACTGTCATGGCTTTGCCATGTTCTGTCATGTTCAGTTCTCAAGACTCCGCCCTGCCTCACTCTGTCACTCTCAGCCCCTTCCTCCTCTCCTCCTTCAGGAGCTCCCTTTCTCCTTCTCTTCGAGCTATTCCCCGTCTTCATCTCCATCCCTTGACTCTCCTGGGCTCTCTCCATTATGTTCCCATCTCCCTGCTCTATCTTCAACTTCATCCACCTGTCCTGTGTGAACAGGCTGTGGTGAGGGTGAGGTTGACTTGGACCAGGGATGGTCACTCAGGCCAGAGCTCTCCAGACAAGTGGTCCACACCCTCTCCATGGTCAGATTACCCATCACCTCAACATGCAACCACCATTAAAAACTTCTCCTTACTCAACAATGGCCCTTTGCTTAAACGGTTGTCTCTTAGTATCCACAGGGGATTGGTTCCAGGACCTCCTGCAGATACTAAACTCCATGGATACTCAAGTCCGTGATATAAAATGACATAGTTGCCAACTATCCTGATTTGATCATCACATATTGTACACAAATACCGATAGTCAACTCTATACCTCACAAATATGTATAATCAATTGTTTCAATTAAAAAATAAATAAAACGGCATAGTATTTGTATATAACCTATAAACATCCTCCTATATACTCTAAATCATCTCTAGATTACTTCCAATATCTACTACAACATAAACACTATGTAGATAGTTGTTATACTTAATTGTTTAGGGAATAATGATAAGAAAAAAAGTCTGTAAATGTTCAGTACAGACAAAATTTTTTTTCGAGTGTTTTTGACCAGTGGTTGGTTGAATCCACAGATGCAGAACCCAGAGATAGGGAGGGCTGACTGTACCTGAAATAACACACATGCTGAATAGAATCCAACCAACTGAAATCCCACTTAGATAGGACTTTATTCCCGGCTTCAACATTAGGGACAAAAGTCAACCCGAGGAATTTGTCAAAGAGTTAGGCTCTAGAGCAGCAGTCCAATAGCATTCTCTATGACGATGAAAGTGCTCTATTCTGTGCTGTTCCAATGGTGACCACCAGCCATGTGTGGCCATTGAGCACTTTGACAGTGGCTAGTGCAATTAAAGAAATAGAATTTTAATTACTTTTCATTAATTAACATTCAAATGGCCACATGTAGGTAGTGACTATTATATTGGATTGGGCTGAAAATGCAGAGACTCACCGAAGGGGAATTAGCCCAGAAGCCATTCCTCAAGACTGGTGAACTTATGTGGGCCAGCAGGGCCTCATTAAGAGGCTTCACACCTGCAGGACGTCTCACCCGCAATGCAACATTTCCCTCCCTCTCTCTCACACTTGTTCTCATCTAATGTCAACCAACCACAGCTACACCGACTGCTCCACCAAGGGTCACTTCATTTTAGAAATGGTCAGAAACTTCAGTCATTCGCACTTTAAGTTCCACATGCCAAGCGCTGAGGCTAAGGCAAACAAAATCTACACCCAGCCTCCAGAGAGCACAAATCCAGCATGGGAAACCTGGAAGTTGTTACAGGACAGTCACTACTTGTGAATGTGAAAATAGACAATGGACAAGGAACAAAATGAAGAAAGGGCTCAGAATAATAAAAC